CCTGCTCTTAAGTTAAAAAATAGCAACGACCTAAGACTTCGTTCCTATTAGTGAATTAGTGAGCATGGTTTTGTGAGCTCCGAAAAGGGGATCCTTATTTTTTCAAGTGGAAATGAACTGGGCTTTCTGGCTCTACGGGTCTTATTTAAGCTGCTGAGCCATTAGACCTGTTGACCAGGATGCCTGGCTCCTCCTAACCCGTGAGCCATCTCTTCCAACCCTAATCAGGGTTTGCATTCAAGGCCCTGCAGATGTGTGTCTGTTTCCTTATATTTTGTGCTAAACATGTAGAATGACTCATCCACTCTTCTGTTGTCAGATGTTCTGTGGAAAACCGTTCTGGGCCTTTTTGCATGAGAATCACCTGGAATCCTAGGTCAGGCCAATGTGTGCTACTGGACAGAAATGCCAAGAAATGTCATAACCTGTCTGATGTATTAAATTCTCAGGAATCGGGATTAAAAGTTAACCAGCCAGCATCCTTTGCTATAAGGTTGAATGGTGCAAAAGGCAAGATTGATGCCAAGGTGCACAGTCCCTCCGGAGCTGTGGAGGAGTGCCATGTGTCTGAGCTGGAGCCAGGTGAGCTGCAAGGCCTGGGGGTGGAGGTGGGCATGGGGTGGTCCCAGCACCAACGCTTTCCGAAGGTTCCAGCAACTGGACATTCCAAACAAGGACTCCTCTTCCTCATAGCTGCCAGTGGGTTCCCTACGCTGTAGCTGGATCGTGCATAAATGAGGGTGTAAACATTTGCCAGGGACAGGGAGCCCTTTTACTTGGGAGAATAATGCTCTCCCACCCACCTGCCTGCTTTCCTCTCTTCTTTCCTTTTCAAATGTTTCTTTATTTTCTGTTAGTTGTTTTGGATTTCTTTCGCCTGACAGTTATCTTGATTTTTCTTTCCTTTTTTTAACAAAACATTACAGATCTTTATAATAGTTGACTTTAAGACGTGAGGACACACACTCTGAGTCACTTCCTGTGGCTGAAGAACTGCCATGTGCTCATTTAGGCTTGGGGAAAGATTGATTTTCCCGGTCCAATCAGAGCTGGCACCTGGACGAGGGGGCGGGGTTGGCTTCCTTGAAGCTCATTGGCTTTAAAAGTGGTGGGTGGGTATCCAGCTAGAACTGCTGGGGAAGGATGTGGGGTGGGCAGCCCCGTTTAGATATATTTCCATGGAGTGGACCAGAAGAGAAAAAGTGTCTGGGTATCAATTTGAACAGGCTTTCTACATCCAGGCGGGAGGGCCCTGAGGAGGGAGGGCTGACCTGGTGCCCACGGATAGCTGTTCTAGGTGCCTGTTTCAGCTAACGGGTTCTCTTGCCACATCTGTGACCCAGACGTACAGCACAAATCCGGCCGTTGCCCTGGGGGACAGTTGCTAGCTTTGAGCTGAATCAAGGAGCACCAAGGCCAGCTGGAACCATTTCCCCCCTTCAAGTAGCCAAGGAGGGAAGCTCTGTGAAAAGTGAGATTTTCCTAAGGGAAGGAAGTGTTTGGAGGCAAGAGCCCGAGGATTAAACAAGGAACTGTAGAAGCATTTTCCCCAAAGGGCTGGCTGGAGGTACACGAGGAGCCGTCTGGTTTTGCAATCCAGCGAATTGGGTGCCAGGCTCCCCTTAGTACTGTCACCTTTAAATGATTTAATAGCAGCCATCCCACTCGGCCTGCTGTCCTTCCTCCTCACCCAACTCGGTGGTGTTCATTTCCCGGTTTCACCAGCCCCTTTGCTCCTTTCTCTTAGATAAGTACGCTGTTCGCTTCATCCCCCACGAGAATGGCGTCCACACCATCGACGTCAAGTTCAATGGGAGTCACGTGGTCGGAAGTCCCTTCAAAGTGCGCGTCGGGGAGCCTGGTCAAGCTGGGAACCCTGCTCTGGTGTCGGCCTACGGTGCGGGGCTCGAGGGAGGCACCACAGGTAACAGGTCGCTGCGCGTCTCATCTTTAACTGGGCCAGCTCCAGGGACAAGGCCAGATGGAAGTCTTCACGCCTGGTGGAAACCTTTTATACACGGTCCCCGAGGACACTGGAATAGCTCAGGCTTTGCAGGCGCTCGCTTTCCAGAGATGTCTGGGGACCTGTGGTTTGATCTGAGATAAATCTGGAGTGAGGTCTGGATGGCTGGGTTGTCACCGCTCAGTTCTGTTCGTTGTGGTCCAGATGTCTTCCTTCGCCAAGTTCGCAGACCTGGAGGCTAGGATGCTGGTAATTGGGGAACACTGAGCAGATTTCAGGATGCCTCTAACATGCCCCCTGGGAGGTCTCCTCCCTATCAGCAACTTCAGTGGTCCCTGGGCTCCCAGAATTGCAGTAAGATCATGCCCTGACTCTTTTTTTTTTAATTCTCAATTCCAGAGAAAAACATTTGAAATGGTCCAAGAATCCTGAAGCGTTTTGGACCCATAACAATGTTTAATCTTTGCAGCAGATGGGACATGTCTAATTGTGAAAACGACGGGAGAGGGAGAGTGCATAAAGCGAAGTTTGCTCCAGCCTCTCGCCCCAGCCTCCCCCACACTCCTCTAGGTCTATGGCGAATGTGGCTGACAGGGCAGGGGACCTCATGCCAGCTGTCAGGCT